CCCCGATTAAAACAAGCTTGGAAGCAGGAGTGGCATCCACTTCCATAATAGCTTGCCTCCGGAAACCCTTTGGACCTGGAGAAAGAATGAAAGTCACACAGTATTGAGGACTTTCGTTCATAAGGTTGCTGTGAATCACCTATGACTTGACAACACTTAACAACATAGCTACTTGAGAGAAAGGCCAAAATTGAGAGTTGGAGGCCCTGGAAGGATCATTTATCTAACTTATATCAAACATCACTGAAAGTATAGAAATTAAGTGATAGAATAAAACCGTTATTGTTTCTTTCAATCCACAAACAGCAGAGATTTTGTATTTTGTTCCTTTTCAACTTATAGCTGGACAAAATTCTGCAGTAGATAAACAGTTGTTATGGTCTCCTGTTACCATCAAGTCCAGCCACCTCTGATCTAAATTTCCGGTGAGTTTTTGGAGGCCGTAAGTCACACAGAGAGAGATTTCCTGTCTTCTCCCATGGAACTGCTGGTGGATTCGAACCAAGGAGGTACTACCTTTGGGTTAGTGGCACAGTTCCCTATGGACTACGCCACCAGAGCTCCCTTTTTACTTTTTCTGAATAGTTTGTTGCTAGGTTCTATCAAGTCAACCACAATCCATAACAACCCTATGAACCTTGCCTTATTCTGCACCATCCCCACAATCTATCCTGCTCAACAACATTATTGTTGTCAGTCCATCTTCTTGTCAGTCCATCTTCTTGAAGGTCTTTCTCTTTAAGGGCAGATATTATATGGGATGTACTGTATAGAAGCCTTGATGATGCATGGTTAAGCATTTGGCTGATAACCAAAAGGTTGCCAGTTCAGACTCACCTAGTGGCTTTGTAGAAGAAAGACTAAACAATCTTTTTCCATAAATAAAGATTACCCAAACCAAAATTTGACCTGAATCTAATTCAGACGAATAGTGATTAGTCATAGTGACTGGTGTAGAACTGCCCTACAGTTTGGCTGAAGCTGCACCTTTTCACTGTCTCATCTTTCCCCCATGGAGTGGACTAGTAGGTTTCAGTCTTTTAGTCCAGAGACTTGGTTAGCCTCAGAGCACATTTAAGCCATGAGGACTCATGTCTCAAAGATTATAGCCAAGAAAACCCCATGTGACAGTTCTGCTCTGTGACATGGATTCGCTGTGGAACCAGCCCACCAGCACCCAGCAGCATATGCATTATAAAATGAGACTTTGACCTTAAAATTTCTCTCTGCTGTTTGCATTTACATTGCAGTTAACCATTAATATGAAATAATTTTTGTATCTGATAATATGATTTTTACAATTAAAAAACCAAAACCTGTTGCCATCAAGTCAGTTTGGATTCACAGCAACCCTGTAGGACACCAGGGTTTCCAAAGCTTTAAATCTTTACAGAAGCAGAGTGCTACATCCTTTTCCTCTTGGTAGATTCACACAGCCAAGCTTTTGCTTAACCACTGCTCCACCAATGCCCCCCCACTTTTAATAGTGTTATATATTAGAAAAGGGAGCTCTTATGATCTAGTGGCAAGAAGCTGCTCTGCAATCCCAGAGGCATGTGGTTCTAATCCACCAGCTGCTCCACAGGAGAAAGATGAGGAGTCTCCTACTGTGTGATTAAATGCTTCTGAAAACCCACCAGAGGGTCAGCTATGGGTCAGTTCTGACTCGATGGTAAACAACAATAAATGTAATAGAAAAGCCACTGCAGGCCAACGAATAAATTGTTGTTATTATGTTATATGCCGTTGAGTTGCAGCTGTCATAGCTGACCCTCCAGAAAGTGTTTGGAGGGTCACATGGGAGGAGATTGTCCATCTTCCTTGGAGCAGCTAATGGATTCAAACTGTATGTCTTTGAGTTGGCAGCACAGTTCCTTACCACTAGGCCACCAGAACTCCCTAATCAATTGCTTTGTTTTTATTTCCCCTATTTAATAGAGCTCTAGTTGCATAGTACATAGGGAGTTGTGTTGCTAACCCAAAGGCCGTGCCTCTCTGGCAGTTTAATCCACCAGCAACTCGGAGGGAGAAAAATAGGAAATTCCCTCCTGTGTGGTTTACAGCCCCAGAAACCCAGTGGAAGCTCAGCTAGAGTCAGTTCCTTTTGAACATCCATAAGACAGTAGAACGTATAGAGCGTTCTGGTGGCCTAGTCCACAGACAGTTGCACTGCTACCCCAAAAGCACTGCTTTTCCGGTGGTTTGAATCTACTAGCTGCTTCTCAGGAGAAAGATGAACAGTCTTCCCCTGTGTATTTGGAGGATCAGCTGTAGCTCAGAACAGATTCAACAGCAGTGAATTGAGTAGACAGTGATTTAAGGATATGCATGTATAAAGGATTCCATTAGGGCTGTGGGAGTTTGACTTATAAAAAAATGTTTTAATAAATCATAAAACCTTTGTGAACTGGTCAGCTATTCACATGTTGTAACATGGAAAGTTTTATTACAGCCTTACTGGGTTATCTTGAAGACATTATTTTGGGATGGTATAATTGTAGATGGTCTAGGTAAAGAAGAAGTCTTTCAGTTCATAATCAAAGAATAATTATTATTTGGGGAAAGAATCAACTGCCTGCAGAACTTCAAGACTGTGTCTAAAGTAGCAGAGACTAAGCAAGCTCATAGGCTGAAGTTTAGGCTTGTAAATAACAAGATATGTGACTCTGCTTTTACTTTGTCACTTTTCCAGAGAAAGAGTCTTTTTCAGGTCTAGGTAAAGAATATAACTGTTAAAAAAGTTTTGAGCTTGAAATTTGAAATAAATCATCAGCTCCTTTTTCTCAATATAGGGTGTAAGAGAACAGTATTTGGATCTATTTAATAACTGGAAATTTTTATAAGAAAAAATTAAGGGTGGCACAGGATAGGGCAAGTTCAGGTTTGTTCATGGATTTGCTACAAGTCGTAGTTAGCTTGACAGCTTCTAACAACAGGTTTGTACATGAAAGTAGTGATTTCTGAATATTAATTGCATTCTTCTAGTATATATCAGAGTATAATAGAACTTAATTGTAAGTTATAAAAAGAAGAAAAATTATGTATAATGTATGAAATTGTGTATTATCCATATGTATAAATGTTAAATAAACCATGATATGTGTCATTCTCCCTTTTCCCCTTTTCTGGATTCAATAGGTGTTTTCCTACGTTGGAACAGATCTTCCAAGTATTTAGATGAAGCTTATGAAGAAATGGTTAACATCATTGAATATAACAAGGAATTACAAGCAAAAGTAAATATTCTTAGGAGACAGTTGGCAGAACTGGAAACACAAGATGGGGTGCAAGAAAGCCCCTAGAAGGTCCCCAACATTCTTTTCAAAGAACCCTCTGGACTTGTATTCCACCTCTCTCTCTCCTTTGCCCTTCAGTTCACTTTTACAAAGTAGCCTTGCATTTAAGGCTTAACATAGAGGAACTCTCTTACATAATGGATTTCTCAATACTTTATTAATGAAATTTACTATACTTATGTTTCTTGTAGCCTGCTACAGGCCCTGTCACATAGGATAAGGAAGGAGGTGCTAGTTATTTTCTTTTATGTGAAATAGGTGATTTATTTAATGACAGTCTCATTATAAACCATTTCATCATAAGCTTTTTATCCCTTTCCAAACAGTGCTCCAAAACAGATGAGGATGTGATTAATCTTACAGAATATTTATTGGTTTACAAAACAGTGAGACTTTTAAAGTACTTTGGGTATAGAAATTTTTCAAAACTGAAACAGTTGATAAACCAAGGAATTGTATGTTTAATATGCTAACTTAGTATTATCTTTGCCACACAAAATAGCCACTCTTTAAAATAATTTTGGACCAATGATGCTGAATTCATTCTTACTCTAATTTGTCAGGAAAGGAAAATCTGAATTCTTATCCTAGTTAAATTATGTTTGTAGGGGAAATGGTTATTTAGATATTTACATTAAGAATAAATTTATTTTAATAAGACACTAAAAGTGTGTATAATATGGAACTAAAGTAAGAATTTGTTACTGATAGTCTTATTACTATTGAACTGATTGTTCCACTTTTTGAGCCTGCCTGATGTTAAATGAAATAATTTAAAATAGGTACTAATTTGTTCTAAAATAAGCTCCAAACAAAAGATTCCCTTAAACTAGCAAAACTCTAGCCCTTGTCTGGAGTTCATACTATACCAGGTGGTATGTATATGTTACTGTTTTGCTTTAGTTTTAGTAATTTTAAGATTTTACCAATAGAAAGGTTAAAAACTCCATGTTACCTTAGGTCTTAGAAATGTGTCTTGACTCCACTTATTTGTTCATTATGTATTATATAAATATAATTGAGGGAGGGAAAGGTTTAGGAATATAATTGAAGTCTAAGTTCCAAGTTTCAGTAACAGTTTTGAAACATTTCATTATTATGGAAAGAGTAAAGACTATTTTTATGCTTTCACTACTTTGTGTTGCTTGCAGATCTAAAAGTCTATGGTAGAGTATTTTTCCTGCAGGTTTCTGCTTTATGACTGCTCATGTTAAAAAATATTATCAATTCTGGTTTTCCATTGAAAATTAATTTTTACCATTTCCATATAATCTATATATAACCATTTCTTTGTAAAACTAAACATTCTTTGAGAATTGTATTTTAGCTGAAAAATATAATTTTAAAACTCTAGCAAAATCCATGACATTAGAAACTGGCAAACACTTTCCATTTTCAGTTGCCCATGCTTTATCTTTTCCTACTTTCATAGATTTGTAGCAAAAGGTTAGAGAGTAATCTATAGTAAACATTGTCATTTGGTATATATGGCTTCCTTCTTTAAGCTCAGTTTTATTTTCACGGCTATAATTATGAATCTTGGGCCAACATTGGATCATTAGCAGTGAGGTATGTTGCTATAGAGATTTCTGCACTGGCTGAAATAACTCTCATTATTTAAAAGAGTAAATATTCTTGGTTCTTTATGGCCTCTCAAAAATGTTTGTTACATCTATTCATGCAACTAACCTTTTTATTCTTCTTCTCAAGGCTAGGTATGAAGAAGGGGTCTTTTTCTTCTCAGATAATAGACTCAAAAGGAAAATGTTCTAGAGTGTTTTTGTTAGGCTTTATCATAGAGAAATTGTGGCCACCAGTTTGTACTAGATGAACAACATTTTAGGTGAGACCAGAGTGCGTTGTTGTTGTTGTTGTAGGTGCCATCGAGTCAACTGTGACTCATAGTAAACCTACAAGGAGTGTCTCTACACCTTGTCTTATCCTGTTCTATCCTCATCATCTCTATATATTTGAGCCCATTATTGCAGTGACTGTGTCAGTCCTTTTTATTGATGGTGTTCCTCTCTTTTACTAACACTCCACCAAAATACGTTAGTAAAGTCATATTTTACTGTCTTTTTCATATTGAGACAAATTTCTTAAGCCATTTTGACAGACTTTAAAGTTAGTGTCTTAACCACATCTGGTTAGAGATAGTTACAACTTTTATATCAATAAAAGTGCTTTCAAAATGGTCAGTTAGTATGAAAATTAAAATATTAAAGCTTTCACATACTTGGGAACTCTGTCATTTAACAAGTATATTGTTAATATAATTTAAAGAATGTTTTTAATAATACTTTTGAATCATTTCTAAAAGAGATAAAATGGATTAAATTAATGAGAAGTACTTGCCAAGAAAAGGTTGTAGTTTGTTTTTAAGTGTAATTTTAAGAACTTTGTTAAAGATTGGTGGCAGTATTAGTGTGCAAGTAAAGTGTCCCATAGGAACTTAATTAATATAAAATGAAATCATTAAGTTCATTGCTTTAGACTTTATGTTGGGCCTATTCTGAGTTCATTTATACTAAAGTTTGGTTTACATGGGGTGCAAAAAGTAAGTCCCCTCAAAGAATATTCTTTAAGACACAAATAATTGCTAAGATCTACCAAGAAGGCAGATATCCTTAGGTTTGAATTGTAGGCCGAGTTCTTCCTATTCTACCCTTAAATCTCTTCTACTTTTGCCTTTCATAGAACACAGTTCTAAATCTTACCAAAGTATTCTCCCCTTTGCCAAAAGAAAGAACCTCTGTTACCTTTGAATCCTTGGTTGCCATTTTAATGAAAGAATTTTTAAGACTCAGAAGAACATGGTTAGTTGATTGAAAAATTTAAGACTTCTTCTGTGGCAGAATTTTTTTTATTGATTATTTGCAGTCATATTTCCTTTTTATTTTATTGAATAGGAAGAAAACAAGCAGAAACAGTACAATAAAAAGTTTAAAGAGCCTATTTTGATTCTGAGATAACATTGATAGCCTCATAGTAAGGAGTCTGCTGCCAGTCTGAAGGGAAGTGGTTTGGGTCCACCAGGCGTGCCACAAGAGAAAGTTGGGCAGTCTCATCCTGTGTGATTTACAGCTTATGAAGACCCATTGGAGAGTCAGCCATGAGTCAATTCTGAATAAACAGCACATAACAATTTGGACTCTAAAAAAAAATTTAGCTCTTGGGAGCAAGATTTGTAAATTTTCTGGGAATATTAGGAAGACTGTGGTATTCGTTTCTTACCTTAGATGGGAGATTTTCAAACGTGTTTTTGAACTCTAAGACCTGATTAACTGATGTAGGATCTCTGTGCTTTTCATTTTATGGGATACAGCTCTGTGAGATTTTATTGTTTGAGTCACTCAGTATGTTTGGTTATGTTAAACTTTTTTATAACAATCATTATAATGGAGAAGATTTGACTAAGAGTTTCTTGAAGTGAAAAAAATAGGAAAAACATTTTGCTGCATTTTTAAAATCTCCTTGATATTTATTTTAAATGGCAGTCTTCAGTAAACTATCAGGTAAGTTGTTAGACCTGAACCTGAACCAGTTTAAGATCTGATTTGTTTTGGTGGTGTCCAAATCTAGAAATTCTTATAGATTTGATGAGTGAGCACTCTTACCAGAATTATGATTCCAGAACAATAACATCAAAAACACCAAAAAAAGGTTAGTATTTAGTTTAGTTGATTTTCTCTTTAGAATCTTTAAAGTTTACCAGAGAACAAAGTCATTCAGCAGACCTGAAGCAGGTTTTTGTTATACCTTATGACAATGTAGAATAGCTAATTATTCTTCTTTAGTATAGGTCAGATTTTTTTTTAACTCCTTCCAGAGCTTGTATCCAAGTTATTTATTACCAGGTGGTATTTTTATGTAACTCATTTTCTTAACAAAGACATTCTTTAATATGGGTCAGATGTTTTAAACCCCCTCTAGAAGCTGATATCCAAGTTCTTTATTGCAAGGTGGTGTTTTTATGTAACTCATTTTCTTGAGAAAAGGCAGTAAAAGACTGATTTCTCCATTATTCTAATATGATTTGAGTTGCTAATTTTCCATTTTCATTTTAATAAAACTTCTATTTTTACTGGAGCTTTATAGTCCAATGTCAGCAACATCATCTTCCTTTAAACCATAGCACAGAACGGCTTCTCTGAAACCATAGGACTAGATTTTTAAAAGTCTGAACTTGTTCCCTTTCCAGAGACATAAAGGCCTGTCTATTAGACTGCACTGCAGGATTATAGTTGGTGCTTAACGTTAATGAAAAATAATGGGGCTTACTGTAGACACTACTTCGTCCAGAAAGCAGCTCCTGATGAGTTTAATGGCTTTGAAGTAACCATGTTTAATTAATCTCCTATGGGTCTAAGGATTAATATATTTGTGATTTGTGATAACATTGAATTGTATAACACTGCCTTGTAGCTGTCTGAGCAAGACACTTGCTTCCTTTTTAAAATGCACTTATCTTTGGAGAGGTGGATTATTCTACGTAAATATTCCCTGAATCCCATTGTTTAGAATCTCTATAGATCTGTTACCATCTACACTAAAAATATTGTACTTGCACAATTTAGGGTTTGGGTTGTTTTGTTTGGTTTTTTTTATTAAAAAAATGTATTTCTGCAATAGCCAGGTATTTGGATTGTATTCTTGATATATTTGAATGTGATTCTTGGATTTAAGTGCACTATTATTCATGTCTTACATAAAATTGCACTGTATGGCAAATGTGTCTATAATGTATGCTTTGCTAAAACCTCAGAGTGCTGTACTGAACAGGCTTCCATATTGTAAACCTGTCTATATATAGTCTTAGAACTTTTGTAAGTCTGGATATTATTTGTAATGTTCATTGTTAAATTCAGTTTTGTTCTAAAATTAGAATAATTCACCTTGCATTTACTGTTTGGTTTTCCTGAATCAAGAAACTGTCTTGTTGAATGTAGTACTGTTACTTTAGTGTGTGGTGTTTGTGTGTGGTATTCTCCCTCTGCCTCAGAGGACTGTTGCACATATGCTAGTGTTAAAGTTCTATAGATAATGGTAATAAAAGTTGAATATATTCAGAAACTAGTAAAGTAAATCTGTAGACTGAGTTTGTTTTGTTTTCTCAAAATATTTGTGAAAGATTGACAGTATCACAGTTAAAACTATCTATTCTTTACCTTGTAGGGCAAATTTGAGCGTCCCTTCTGACATCCATTTTGGTCTTTTCTTTCTTTTCTGTCTTTGTGATGAGCTTTTTTTTTCTTGCAGGATGTTCCTGATGT